TGATGCTAATTCTATGGGCTTGCAGAAAGCAAGAACTGTGGAGGCTTGGCAACCTCCACCCAGATTTCAATAGGTGTCCTCAAAAACCTGGGAGCCCAGACAGAGGCTCGTCCCAGGGGCAGAGCCAATGGCAAAATGTGGGATTGAAGCTGACACAGGGTTGGCAATGCCTAGTGGAGATGTGGGAGCAGGACCACCACTAGGAACTCAGAGCTGCGTAGTTACCAGCAGCATGCAACATACCCCTGGGAAAGCTTTAGGCACTGGACTCCAACTCACACCAGCAACCATATGGGCTGCACCGAGCAAAGCTATAGGGGCAGAGCTGCTGAGGCCTTGAACCCCTGCCCCCAACCCAGTGCATCCAGAAGGTGGCACAATAGTCAAGAGAGATTATTCTCCAGCTTTAAGATTTACCATCTGCCCTCCTCAGTTTGGAACTTGCTTGGGATCTATTGGTCCTTTCTTTTTGCCTATTTCTCCCTGTTAAGGTGGAGAATGTCTGTCTTATGCATGTACCACCACTGTATCCTAGAAGTAGATAGCATGTTTTGATTTCGCAGGCTCACAAATGAGACTGTGGACTTCGGACTTTTGAGTTGATGCTAGAACAAGTCAAGACTTTGGAATCACCAGTAACAGTGGCTCATGCCGATACTCCAGCACTTTGGAATGCCGAGGCAGGAGATCAGGAGTTCGAGACCAGCCTGAGCAACACAGCAAAAAATTAGCAGGGTATATGCGTGCCCGTAGTCCCAGCTACTCAGGAGGCTGAGGTAGGAGGATTGCCTGAGCCCAGGAGTTTGAGGTTGCAGGGAGCTATGATGATGCCACTGCATTCTAACTTGGGCAACAGAGTAAGAACCTGTTTCCAAAAATAAAAGGAAAAGGAAAAGAAAAACTTTGGGACCATGGGGATAAAATGAATGTATCTGTATATGAGAAAGACATGAATTTTGGGGGGTCAGGGGTGCAATGCTATGGTTTGAATGTTTATCCCCTCCAAAATACATGCTGAAATTTAATTCCCAATGTAGCAGTATTGAGAAGTGGGGTCTTTAAGAGGTGATTGGGTCATGTGGGCTCTCCCCACATAGATTAATACATGAATCCATTCATGGCTCAGTACATGAATAGATTAATGGGTAATCATGAGACTAAGACTGGTGGCTTTATAAGAAGAGGAAGAAAGATCTGAGCTAGCATGCTCAACTCCCTGGTCATATGATGCCCTGCACTGTCTCAGCACTCTGCACTCTCCACTACCAAGAAGGCCCTCACCAGATGTGGCCCATTGACCTTGGACTTCTCAGGCTCCATTACTGTAAGAAATAAATTCCTTTTCTTTATACATTTCCAAGTTTCAGGTATTCTGTTATAAGCAACAGAAAATAAACTAACATAGCTTCTCCTTCTGAAAATTTAAGAATACAACTTTGTGTGAAAAGGATATACAAAAAAATTACAGAATTTATGAAAAAAATTATAATGACAGAAGGACATATGATAATGTATGGGACACACTGAAAGCAGTGACTAGATGAAAATTCACACCCTAAATACTTAAGTCAATAAAAATGAAAGAATGAAAATAAATTTTCAACTTGAAAAGAAAGTCAACTAAAAGAAAGCACAAGGATGAAAATAATAGGGCAGAGAAGAAAAAATCAGTAGATAAAATTAATAAATCAAAATCCTGATTTTTTGAAAAAATATAATAGACAAACCACTAGGTCAAGTGGTTGGTGGTCTAATTAAGACCAA